AAAAAAGGTGTTGTTTTTTGAGTTGGAGCCTCACTCTGTCATCCAGGCTGGAGTACAGTGGCACACTCACGGCCACCGCAGCCTCGACCTGTCGGGCTCAGGGAATCCTTCCACCCCAGCCTTCCAAGTAGCCAGAACTACAGATATGCACCACCACTCCTAGCTTATTTATTTATTTATTTATTTACTGTAGAGACGAGGTCCCACCAAGTTGCCCAGGCTGGTCTCGAACCCATGGGCTCAGGCAAACCTCTCACCTCAGTCTCCCAAAGTGCTGGGTATAGGCCTGAGCCACCGCACCCAGCCTAAATTTTTTTTTTTTAAATAGCAAGGGGGTGTTCTCCCTATATTGCCCGGGCTGGTCTTGAAATCTTCAAGTGATCCTCCCACCTCAGCCTCCCAAAGTGCCGGATTATTGGAGTGAACTACCACGTCCAGTGGACTTTCAGTTTTAAAACCTAGACAGTCTTGGCAGGCCATCCTGGTGTGCCCCATCGTGAGGAGTTCTCATGACCGGAGCCTTTCGGTGCTAAAACCTGGAAGGTGCTGGGCACACCGGGACGAGTTGGTCACCCCGTGGGGCCACAAGGCTGGCTCCCATGTTGTGGGTCGTCGGGGCCCAGTGAGGAGGGAACAGGTGTGTCCCCACCCCATAGGCTGAAAGGAGAAGCGGCAGGGAGGATGGCGGTGGTGATGGAGGGTGTTCTTTGGAGACCCTGACCTGGTCTCACCTATTCCAGAAAGTGCTAAGACGCAGAGAAGGGTGGTCAGAAAGGTAGAGGGTGCAGGTCAAGGCCCACTCCCCTTCTGAGTCTGGTGTGCAGCGTGAGGAGGCCAGTCAGAGCAGGGGCATGAACCTGAGCCCTCGGCTCCAGCCTGGGCCGCTGGCCCGAGCCACTGACCTCCTTGTGTACCCACAGGCCGGCCGGGGCCCCGCTGCAGCCGCTGCCAGAAGAACCTGTCTTTGCACACGTCGGTGCGGATCCTTTACCTCTTCCTGGCCCTGCTCCTGGTGGCCGTGGCCGTGCTGGCTTCTCTGGGTGAGTCCAGGGCTCGCCCAGCCTGGGCTGCAGGGGGTGTGTGGCCAGGGCGCTGGCACCGAGACCCCCTGCCGGGACAAACCCTTGACACCTGTAGCCCAGGTCCCAGAACCAGCATCTTTCTGGCTAGGGCATCTTACTGCCTCATCCAGGCTTTAAAGACTGGCTACCAATTAGCTGTGTGACCTTGAACAAGGCACCGCCTTCTCAGGACCCCAGTGGTTTTCCCACTGGTAAAATGAGACCATAGGACTAGATCAGTGGTTCTCTGCTTCAGCTCCATGATAGAAGCCATAAAAAACATTGGTGCCACTGGGCTCGGTGGCTCAGCCTGTAATCCCGCGCCTTTGGGAGGCTGAGGTGAGTGGATTGCCTGAGCCTGAGGGTTCCAGACCCGCCTGGGAACTTGGCGAGACCTCATCTCTACAATAAATAAAAAAAGATTAGCCGGGCGTGGTAGCGCGCGCCTGTAGTTCCAGCTCCTGGGAAGGCTGAGGCGGAAAGATCGCCGGAGCCCAGCAGTCGAGGCTGCGATGGCCGGGAGCGGCCACTGCACTCCAGTCTGGGTGACCGAGTGAGACTCCAACTCAAAAAAATATATATATATTGGTGCCTGGGCCCGACCCTGGGTAATGGAGATAATTCAATATCTTTCTGGACCCTAAATGATTCTGTTGTATATCCAGGGATGGGATCATGGGACCAAATGACTTTTTTTTTGAGTTGGAGTCTCACTCAGTCGCCCAGACTGGAGTGCAGTGGCCACTTCTGGCCACTGCAGCCTCGACCTGCTGGACTCCGATGATCCTTCCACCTCTGCCTTCCGAGTAGCTGGAACTACAGGCGCGTGCTACCACGCCCGGCTAATTTTTTTGCTTTTTAGTGTAGAGATGAGGTCTCGCCAAGTTGCCCAGGTGGGTCTCGAATCCGTGGGCTCAGGCAATTCACTCAAATGACTTCTAACCCCATTCTATCGAGTGTTTCTCAAAGTGAGGTTGAACGACTACCTGCATCCATTTCATCTCCAGTATTTGTGAAAATGCACATTCTTGCATCTCACACAGACTTATTAAATCAGAGTTTTGTTTTTGTTTTTGTTTGCTTTGTTTTTGAGTCGGAGTCTCACTCTGTTGGCCAGGCTGGAGTTCAGTGGCACGCTGCTCACGGCCACCTCAGCCTCGACCTGCTGGGCTCAGGCGATCCTTCCGCCTCGGCCTTCCAAGTTGCCGGAACTACAGGTATGCACCACCACGGCCGGCTAATTTGTTGATTTATTATGGAGATGAGATCTTGCCAAGTTGCCCGGGCTGGTCTCGAACCCGTGAGCTCAGGCAATCCTCTCACCTCGACCTCCTGAGGTGCTGGGATTAGAGGCGTGCGCCACCACGCCCAGCCCAAATCAGAGTTTTGAAGGAGAGGCCCAGGGGTCTGAGTTCTGGTTCCACACACACATGCTAGAGTTTGTATGACTTTGGGAGCTGACCCAGGTCACAGCACACAGCCAGATGCAGGTAGCCTCTTGCACGCTAACAGATTATGGTAAACCGGTTAAAGCAAATGTGGTAGTGTCTCACTGCAATCCCATTCCACTCTGAGCTTCAGACTTTGAAAATCAGGCTCCAGCAGGTTTGTTTTTTCCAATCTACTAGATATTAGAGGCAAAGCCGGGAGTAGAGAAAGGCAGTGGAGCATTCGAGGGTGGCACCTTGAAGGGGGCGCCTGGCCCTGGCCCTGGTTGAAGACATTCAGTAACCAGCCTTCTTGATTGGAAGGCAAGAAACCAGCATGTCAATGACTTGAGCAGACGCAAGGCACCTTCCAACAATTCAGAGGCATTGCTCCAACACAAGCCAAGCACCTATTCGGTGGCAGGTGTTGGGAAACTGAACTGCGTCAGTTACCACTCACCATTGAGGTGCGTGGCTCTCCTCCCTTGTGGGGGATATTGGAATCCCTTGGACAAGCCGGGCTTGGTGGCTCAGCCTGTCATCCCGCGCTTTGGGAGGCTGAAGTGAGTGGATTACCTGAGCCCGCGGGTTCGAGATCCGCCTGGGCAACTTGGCGAGACCTCGTCTCTACAATAAATCAAAAAATGAGCTGGGCATGGTAGCGCGCTCCTGTAGTTCCAGCTCCTTAGAAGGCTGAGGCGGAAGGATCGCCGGAGCCCAGCAGGTCGAGGCTGCGGTGGCTGGGAGCGGCCACTGCACTCCAGTCTGGGCGACAGAGTGAGACTCCAACTCAAAAAAAAAAAAAAAAGAATTCCTTGGACAGCATTTAAAAATGCCAGCACCAGAGTTCCCACACACACTCCAGATGAGTTAAATGATAATTTCTGGGTAGGACTCGGGCCTTAATTGTTTACCAAAATTCTTCGGAATTCCAACATGCAGGTAGGCTTGAGGACCACGGATTTCAGGACTTTCAAGTCCCTCACCCCGGGGGTTCAGATCCATCTCACTCTGCTAAATCACTTCACAGCGTCTGGCCTTTCAGAAAGGGGCCAAAATCCCGGCCCAGAGAAAGGGACAAGCTATGGTCCACCCATCAGAAGCAGCAAACTGACTGTTGGAGGATCTGTAAAGATCCTTGATCAGCCCTTTCAGGACCTCTGCTCATAGCACCCAAGGGACCTGAAGCCAGTAATAAAGCCCCAAGAGCCAGAGCCACAGGCTAGAGTCCAGAGAAGATCTTAAGCACCGAAGTGTGTCGGAGGGAATGACAGAGTGCCGGGCGCTTTCACGTAAGTGATATCCGTGACCCATCCTGACAGGCCTCCGGCGGGAGGCTGGCCCACTGCTCACATGAAGGAACAGTTCTGGGCAGGTGAGATGCTTTGCTTCCAGATCCAGAGCGAATGGGCAGAGGATCAGAAGAACCGGGAATGAGGAGTACGTGTTTGGTGAATGATGGGAGACCCTTAGAGTGTCCTCTTTTTTTTATTTCTGCCTCCAGCTTGGGTATCCCAAGCCCCTAGAACAATGTCAGCACCTTCCTGGCCTGATCGGTAGGTGCTCAGTAATATTTGTTGAACGAATGACTACAGATTTATGACCTCACACACGCATGTGTGTGAATAGTCCTGGCCAACGTTTTACAATCAAGACTGTGACCAAAGTCCAGAGGGTTGGACAAAATCACTCTTCCTCTTAGTGGACATGGGAAGCCCTCTATATTCATTTAATCAAGTATTTTTTGCATGCACACTGTGGCCCAAGAACTGTATTAGACTCTGGGCAGTATACTACTTAATAAAACACAGACCCTGCCCTCATGGACCTTATAATTTTAGAGCTGAGTTGGCACATTTTTCCTGTAAGAGGCTAGATAGTAAATATTTTAGGCTTTTGAGGTCACATATGATCTTTGTCACAATTCAACTCTGCGATTATAGGGCAAAACCCGCCACAGGCATATGTAAGTTAATGGGGGCCCAATAAAAAGCAGGTATTGGGCTCGATTTCACCTCAGGCCATAATTTGCCCATCCCCGGTCTCGAGCAATAATCTGTGAACTTTTTTGACTGTGCACTCCATCAGTAAAACATTGATTTAAAGTGCTCCAAAAAAAAATTAGATGCATTGATGGATGGATGAAAGGGACGGATAGATATGAAGTAAATACAGCAAAATGCTAACTGCAGAATCCAGGTGACAGGCACGTGGGTCTTCACTGTGCAAATCTTTCAGTTATTCTGTTTCAAAACAAAAAGAAAAAAAGAAAAAAATTAATAGGCTCGCACCTCCAATATATACCTGTCTATTTATAAATTACATACAGAAGGTGCCAAAAATGTGTACACATTTTAAAAAAGGAAAAAAACTATTAAAATTGCAATACTCGGCCAGGCTCGGTGGCTCAGCCTGTAATCCCAGGACTTTGGGAGGCTGAGGTGAGTGGTTTGCCTGAGCCTGCGGGTTCGAGACCCGCCTGGGAAACTTGACGAGCCCTCATCTCTACAACAAATCAAAAATTAGCCGGGCGTGGTAGCGCGCGCCTGTAGTTCCAGCTACTTGGAAGGCTGAGGCGGAAGGATCGCCGGAGCCCAGCAGGT